TCTTCTGTGTTTTTCTTTTTCACTGTGTGAATAATACTGAGGCAAAAAGCTATGTACCAAAAATTTTAATTTCCTACCTTTTAGGGTCTATATTTAGGTCACATGTACCAGTTATAGATTTTTTTGATTAACAGTAGAAAACATAGCAGAAAAAAACCCCTACATCTAGAATCTCTGCCATGTGCAGGGTACTAGCCCTGGCATCCTGTTGTGGAGGCTCAGGTAGTTCCAAGTTAACTTATCAGTTGTCAACAATATTAATAGTGATCCTCCTCCACAGAACCCTGGGAAAGTACATGGCAGATTGACATTGGGATAGTACAGTTCCTCCCATGGGGAGTCCAGTCCCTACTCTTATGGACCAATCACTGAGGAAGTAGGGAGGAATTCAGGAAAGCTTCACTGATGGGTAATGTTTGAACTGGTCAGAAAGATGAGTGGGATTTTGCCAGACAGGAAGGGAGTTTCAGGGAACAAGCAAAGGAGTGGTAGCAGAATATCAGTAGGTGCTGGTATCATCTTAAGTCTTAAGGTGATGTCATTGTACTTGTGATTGAAAATTCACTGGTAATGCCCCAAGTCAAAGGGGATGGACTACAAGTGGAAATAGAGATAGATATTAAGGGCAGGTATAAAAGTTAAGACTTCTGGTCAACAATATTGAAACACATTGCATCTGTGCAGGAATATGACATAATGATACACACTGAAAACTGTTGAATAATAGGGGGGTAAAAGGGAAGGGGTAAGGGAGAGTAATGGAGGGGGTTGAGCTGACCATAGTACAGTATATTCACAGCTGTGAACATCAAGAATCCCTTTTGAACACTGACTTTGGAATTAAAAATGAAGGACAGGAGTTGACTTCCAGCCAGAGGGCTAGACACCACGGGAAACACTGCTTTGCCCAGATGACCAGGTAGTTTCAGGCTGCAGGTATTTCCTTGAGAGTAGCTGCAGGACTGTGCTAGAGTCATGCCACCAGCTCTGTTTCCTTTATCCTTTCTCTCTCCAAACAATTTACCTGCCCAATTATAGTATACATGTTGTATAACTAAGAGAAAAATCTCTGGCATTTAAAAGTGTTCAATTTAGGAGGATCGAAGATGGTGACTAGGGCACAGAAGCAGACAGCATGAGCTCCATGAATCAAAAATCTTGCTGAGATGCTGGAGCCACACTTGGCAGAAATAAAGCACCAAAGAGAATCAAACTTCAATACACTGAACCCTAGCCTGTAGAAAGCTTCTCCTTGCCACGTTACACTGAGAAAACAGGAAAGCCTGTCGCTACCCAGATGCTGGCTCTAAACCTGCTTGGGAGGCATTCAGCATACCAAACAGGTGAGCACCAAGTTTCACATGGTATTCCCCCAGCCACGCCTGGGATAAAGCAGTACAGCCCCCTGGGCAGACTGACCACCCCCCAAAAAAAACCAAACCAAAACAAAAAAAACTGAGCAATAAACAAGCAACACACAACAGAGGGGGCAGGCTGTTGTTAAGTCCACCAGAGAAGGGAGGAGGAGCAAGGAGCTGATCTCCAGGGAAACTTTAAATAAACAAAGGCTGGAAAGGCAGAAGGGCTGACAGTGGGCCTGTGATAAGCCACTGCCTGAAATAGGGCAGGTAGTGGTCCACAAAGCTCATCTCCTGAGCCAGTGAGCAACATCCAAAGTCAAACAACACTGCAAAATTGAAAAATAATCAGCAAACCATCACAACACACTGACAGCAGAGGGTCAGCTGACAGATCACTGACCTTGCCCCAGAGAAAGGGGACAAGGCAAAGAAACACCAAGCCTCCAGTAAATCAGCACAGTAAAAACCCAACTCCAAAGCAGGACAGCTATCTCTGGAACCTGAGGAGAACATACAAACTTAAACTGCCACACCTCACTGAGGAGGAACTGACTAAGCAGCTACCACTGAAAGATGGAAGAAAAAAACCCAAACAAACACTATCCAACCACCTGGTGACAGAGCTTCTGCTTAAATACAAACACCAGTACTGGTTACTGGAGGAGTAACACCAGAGCTTAAACTAAGGCTGAAATTCTATTGTTCCTGAAGGTTTTGGAGTGTGGTTTGTGTGTGTGTGTGTGTGTGTGTGTGTGTGTGTGTGTGTGTGTGTGTGTTTTGTTTCTTTGTTTGTTTGTTCATCTCTCCCCATTGATTTCTTTGGGTTTTTTTTTTTCTGCTTTTGTTTTGTTAGTTTTACTATTGTGAATTAGTCAATACTAAATTATAGGCAGACCAGGGACAGAAATAGCACACACACACACACTAAACTAAAAACCCAATACAGCCACAAAACAAAATTAAATCAAGGGAAAGAAAACAGGTGACTGAAACCACCAATTAGCCTATCAAGAAATAGTTGCACAGTACCAAGTAGAGTGATGGGAAGATGAAAAGGGATAGAAACCATTCTCCCCACCAAAATACTTAATACAAGGATTCAGAAGGGAAAACGAAGAAAATGGATACCCAGTTCCGTACTCCAACAAAACAAAGATAAATGACACCAAGGAACCCAATTATGCCCACAAGAACACTCTGAAGATGTTATAGACATGGTTTAACCAAACAATAGAAGAGGCACTCAAGAAATTTCCAAGACACCAAAAATAAAGAATATGAGAAGAAAACAGAAACAAATAAATGAACTCTTAGGAGCCCTAAATAACACCAAAGAGAAAAGGGCATTATAAATAGAGAAGATAAATAAAGACAAAAACTTGACAATATTAAGAGGAAGTGACCCAAGATATGGAAAACCTCAGAAAAAAGAATGAAACAGAAATACAAAACAAAATGGAAGGCCATTCCAGCAGACTAGAATAAGCAGAAGACAGAATTTCAGAACATGAAAATAAATGGAAATTAAAGGAAAAACAAAAGAGCTATTAGTCAAACAACTCAAGATCTGTGAAAATAATATGCAAGAACTCACTGATCCATCAAAAGACCAAACCTGAGAATCATGGGCATTGAAGAAAGGAGAAGAAGTGCATAGCAAAAAGGATTTGTAATATATTCAACAAAATAATAACAAGAAATTTCCCAAATCTAGAGAAAGCTATGCATTCAGGTACAGGAAGCCTGCCAAGACCAAACAGACTTGACCAAAATAGAACTACCCACAACATTTATCATTAAAACAACAGCACAGAGAATAGAGAAATAATATTGAAGGCTGTAAGAGAAAAAAACAAATACATACAAAGGTAAACCCATCAAAATCACAGGCAGATTTTCTCAATGGAAACTTAAAAGCAAGAAGGGCATGGAGGGAGTATTCCAGGCACTGAATGAAAATAACTTCAACCATAGGAAGATTCTACCAGCAAAACATCATTCAAAATAGATGGAGGCAATGAAATCTTCACGATAAGCAGAAACTAAAACAATATGTGACCACAAAAGCCACCATACAAAAGAGTCTTCAAGGAATTCTGCACACAGAAAATGAACAGCAAACAAAACCATGGGAGGACAGGCACACAAAACCACAGGAGAAGAAAAGACAAGGATCAGAGAGTGAATTAATTAAGCTTCACACAAAACCTCAAACAAAAAAACAATGTAAATGAACAGGAATCACACATACTTATCATATTAACTGAATTTAACGGACTTATTCCCCATCAAAAGACAACAGTCTGGCAAACTGGATTAAAAAGGAAGATCCAACAATCTGTTGTTTACAGGAACCTTCTCATTGACAGAAACAAACACTGGCTTAGGGTGAAAGGCTGGAAGAGATTTACAAGCCAATGCTCCCCAAAAACAGGCAGAAGTAGCAAATTTGTCTTGGACAAAGTAAACCTCAAACTTAAACATTGATCAATGAGAATAAAGAAGGATATCTCTACTAATAAAAGGGGAAATACACCAAGAAAGGAATAACAATTATCAAACTATATGCACCCAACATCATGACCCAATTTTGTCAAACTACTTGAAGGAACTAAAAGCATATAATAGACTCCAACACAGTGATAGTGA